ATTCGTAGTAGTAGCAGTAGTAGTAGTAGTAGTAGTAGTAGTAGTAGTAGTCGCCGTAGAGATAGAAGTAGAAGTAGTAGTAGAAGTAGTAGTAGTAGTAGTAGTAGTAGTAGTAGTAGTAGTAGTAGTAGTAGTAGTAGTAGTAGTAGTAGTAGTAGTAGTAGTAGTAGTAGTAGTAGTAGTAGTAGTAGTAGTAGTAGTAGTAGTAGTAGTAGTAGTAGTAGTAGTAGTAGTAGTAGTAGTAGTAGTAGTAGTAGTAGTAGTAGTAGTAGTTGGAGGGGTAGGTGCGCTTCGCAGGGTCCACGCGGAACTCCCTGACGTTTGGGTTCATGGTGTCGTCGTTGACGAGGTGGATGATTCGCTTGTCCCCCAGTCTGAGGTCAATGTTGTCATCGTCAGCGCCGATGAAGGTGACAATCACGATCCGCGCGACCTGTGGGCCTCCAGCTGGCCTTGCGCTGAATGGTGGAGCGCTGGTGGCAAAGGCCCCTCGGTAAGGCAGGTGGCCCTCTTGCCGTGGAGGTGCCCTCCCCGACGATTTGGGTGGCCTCCTTACGCTCCTCGTCGGTGTGGTTGGGCTTCTTGGGCTCCTCGGCGTTGTCCTCGCGCTTCTCGGCGGTGCAGGTGTCCTTGCCCGCAGCCGCACCTACTCGTGCAGGCGTTGCCGTCGAGGGCGCTGTCGTTGGCGAAGGGGTTGGCGGCGTTATAGCTGGCGGCGTTATCGCTGGTGGCGTCGTGGCTGTGGTACCCGTCGAAGTTGGCGCAGTTGTAGCTCGAGTCACCGTTGCAGGTGTTGTAGTCGCCGAAGTTGTTGCAGCTGGCGGCGCCGAAGTTGCTGCGGAAGGGGGTGGCGTTGTAGCTGCGCTAGTGAGCCTTCACGGGTGCAGTTCTGCTGCTTAGAATTTCGTAGCGGATCCAGCCGTGGGGACAGGGGAGGGCCCTTGGCGACATAGCCCGAAGCGCCAGGTGGGGGGTGGGTTGCGCCAACGGGATCCTTGGGGGGGATTCCCATCGTATCCTTCTTTTCAAGGCTAATGCCCAGGTCTACTCCGGGATGGAGCGCCCAAGGGGGCATATCCTCGAATTTGTTTTGGTAGCCATATTGGCTGTCGTATTGGTAGTAGATTAGCTGGCGTAGCCGTGCTGGTTGTCGTATTGGATGCCGTGTTAGTAGTCGTACTTGTTGTCGTGCTGGACATGCTCGTGTTTGGAGGCGGATTCCAGGATGTTCGTGATGAGGTTGGGGATCAACTCCGGCGCCGCTCTGTTGAGGTCGCTGGTCTCCTGCACGTTACGCAGGTTGATGCTCCAGTTGTTCGGGCAGGGCTGGCTGGGGCTGCTTTTGTGGGCAATGCCGATGATGACGTCGATGGCCGCTGGAGGGCGCCCCTTGCCGGCGGCGCGCGAAAGCCGGCACATGGCAGCGCGTTGACGGCGCCGTTCACCTTGTTGCCGTGCCTGGCCTCCGCGTGTGCGGGGTGGGCCTCGGATCGAAGCCGGCGTGCTCTCGCAGCACTGCTAGGGGGCCACATGTGAACCCTCCCCCTATCCCCCCACGATTTCTGAGGGGGAGGGTGGGGTTAACTTGGCTCGGGAGCTCCCGAACGAAGTGAACCCCACCCTCCCCCTCAGATATCGTGGGGGGTAGGGGTAGGGTTCACATGTGGCCCCCTAACTGCTGGCTCGTGCTGCTGATCTTCTCGATGCGGCACCCGGCTGCGGTGGGCCTGGTCGCGGGCGCCCCGTCCGCCATGGCCTGGCCTGGCGCCACGCTCGGCGTGCCGCGCCCGCCGCGGGCCGCCCCGCCGCGGGACTCCCCCCGTCCCCCCCCCCCCCCCCCGCGTAGGAGAGGGAACGCCTTCCCTCCTCCTCCTCCTCCTCCTCCTCTCCTCCTCCTCCTCCTCCTTCCTCTCCTCTCCTCCTCCTCCTCCTCCTCCTCCTCCCCCTCCTCCTCCTCCTCCCCTCCTCCCCTCCTCCTCTTCCTTCTCCTCCTCCTCTTCTCCTCCCCCTCCTCCTCCTCCTCCTCCTCCTCCTCCTCCTCCGCCCCCTCCTCCTCCTCCTCCGCCTCCTCCCCTTCCTCCTCTTCCTGCTCCTCCTCCTCTTCCTCCTCCTCCTCCTCCTCCTCCTCCTCCTCCTCCTCCTCCTCCTCCTCCTCCCCCTCCACAGGACGCCGGTTACTCGGTGAGGGTGGTGTCGATCGCCGGCGGCGACGTGCCGGTCGATCGGTCTTCTCTGAGCGCGACCTTCAAGACGGAAAACGACGTCAGGATCAGAGCGTGAGGAGGAGGAGGGTGAGGAGAGTGAGGAGGGCCAGGATGTGGAGGATGGCGGGGAGGGGATCAAACGGGGACAATGAGTAGGAGGAGTACCAGTGCAAACCAAAGACGCATCAACGATGTCTAGTTCACTCGCCATTTGTCCCTACAAGAGTTTACTTCCATTGCGGGAAGTGCCTCATTGGACGACAACCGTCCGTGAATCTTCAATCGTGCCACAGCGCAGTTCTTGGGACTGCGGCGCCGCGAATCAAAGTTTTTGTTGCTTCCTGGCAATCCTAAACAATGCACGAGCATTTTTCCTGCGACTTCATCGCAGCGAATCAACCTGACTGTCGCGCCCTGTCCAACCTAAACCGTTCCAGAAAACCGTTCCTTGCATTTCAACCATACGAGTCCTTGAACAGTTGCCAACGTGTAAGACGAATGTGCGCTGCGAAGTGGCGAGAGCCGCTTAAACCAAAAACCTTACACCCTCCATCAGTGAAGCTGTCGCAATTTGGAGACGAATATGCGCGGTATTAGGGCGAGAGCCACATTTCGAACACGACCCGCCCTCCATCCGTGAACTTGCTTCAATAGTTTAATACGACTGTGCGCCGCGCTAAGGCGAGAGCCACATTTTGCAAACGACCCGGCCTCCATCCGTGAAGCTGCTGCAAGCTGTTAAGACGAATGTGCCCCGGCGCTTTGGCGAGAGCCGCATTTTCAAAACGGCCCGCCCTCCATCCGTGAAGCTGCTGCAAAGTCCCAAATTCAGGATCACATATTGAGGAGGTCTCAGGGGAAACGCCCGGCCCGCCCAACCGACACGTCTGGGGGTGCGACAGGGAAGATTTATTTGTAAGAAAATGGACGCAGGAGGAGCAGGAGGAGGAGGAGCACGACGACGATTCGATGGGATGAGTGGGAGAAGCAGAGGATGATAATGAGGAGGAGGAGGAGGAGTGGGAGGATGAAAAGGTGTAAGTAAATAGAAGGAAGGCACGGGGAGGGAGGGATGACGGAGGAGGCAGGTTGGACGATGGAAGAGGAAGGAAGGAGGGAATATTAAGGAGGGAAGAGGAAGAGAGGTGGCGGGGATAAAAACTGAGGGAAGGACGGGATGAGAAAGCGAGAAGGAAGAACAAGTAAGCATGAAGGCTTGTCGGAGAAGAGTTCTAGAAGGTAGATGCATACGCGGGAGGAGGAGGAAGGAAAGACATGGTTGAGGGAAGGAGCAGACGAACAGGAACAGGAAGACTTGAAGGGGTTCATACTACCAGTCTGGAGATGTTAGAGCCCTCTGGATGTGTATCTCTCTCTCTCTCGCTCTCTCTCTCTCTCTCTCTTTCTCTTGCTCTCTTTCTCTCTCTCTCTCTCTCCATCTCTCTCTCTCCCTCTGTCCCTATGTATGGATAAGCAGAGTCAGGGACCGAGCGGTCTTACACAATCCCTGCTTCATATTGTGCTATCTGCGTAAGATAATCGACGTACGGCAATCTAGTTTGTGCATTCTTTATGGTGCAATACATTTTAACAAACGAGTTGGCACATCCCACGCTCTTGCAGACATCCCACCCACCCACCCGCAACTTGGCTTGCAAAACCCATGTGGTGACGATTGCAATAAGTGTTTGGAGTTAGCTGGCCCATCTCTGCGGCCGCGCCAACCCAAGCAAGCGCGCGCAGCGGCCAGCTAGTTCGGCGCGACCGACGCGGCCGCGATGGCGCTGACTTCTGGGCACATCTCAGCTGGGCGACGACACCGACGACGCCTCCAACGACTTCGACGCCGACAACGACAACGACGACGACGACGACACCGACGACGACGACCACGCCGACGACGACGACGACGACGATGACAACGACGACGACGACGACGACGGCGGCGACGTCGACACCGACGTCGTCGACGACGAAGACGACGACGACGCTGACGACGACGACGAAGACGACGACGACGTCGCCAACGAAGACGACGACGAGGGAGGAGGGACAACGACGACGGCGACAACGACGACTTTGACGACAACGACGAGGGAGGAGGGAGGACGGCAACGACGCGAACGAAGAAGAAGGAGGAAGGACGGCGACGCCGACGACGACAACGACGAGGGAGGAGGGAAGACGACGACGGCGACGACGACGACGGCGACGACGACGACGACGACGACGACGGCGACGAAATAGGAGGGACGACAGCGAGACGCCGACGACGGACGACGACGACGACGACGACGGAGGAGGAGGAAGGACGACCACGGCAACAACGACGACGGAAACGACCACGACGCCAAAGAGGACGACGACGACGAACACTAGGAAAGACAGAGGACGACGTAGGCGACGACGACGACGACGACGCGGGAGGAGGGAGGACGGCGACGACGACGACGACGACGCAAGAGCGCGCGCGCACGCTTTTGTTGAAAATCTGTGTGGCGAAACCTTGTGTGTTTTTTTAAAAAAGTTTTGTTGGACACGATTTTGAAATCCTTCCGAAACCGATGGGTTGTCAAGGATTTCGGCATACGCGCGCGATGACGCGCGCGTCTGCACTTCGTCCCGTTTTTTGCAGAGGATTCTCGCAACGGCACACGCGCAAGGGCGTGCGACAGATTTCGACATGCGCGCGCGAAGCCCGTTCGGTAGCATGTTGTGAAAATCTTGAAGCAATTATGGTTTCTTAAGATTTCGCATGAGCTCGTGCGTAAGCTTTTTTCGCAAACCAGTGTTGCGAAACCCTGTGTTTTCGTATGTTTTTTGGGAAACTCGATTCCAAAATCTGTCCGACACCAAAGGTTTTTGAAGGATTTCGGCATGCGCGCGCGACGACGCGCGCGTGTGCACTTCGTCCCATTTGTTGCAAGGGATTCGTAAACAAGTCTCATGTTAGAACAAAAGATATCCCCGCGTATTGCTTTCACCAGGGAACCTCAGGGGGGCTGATACCGGCCCCCCAGGGATAGTGCAATTTCATTCTTAGGATGGACATGTGGCCAGGATCATAAATGATTTACATACCCGAAAAGGGGGCGGGCGGCGAACGCTGGGGGGGGGCGGGGTAGAGTCTATTCTGTTTCTAGAAAGGTGAATTCACGAATGCTCAACTTGAAGTTGTCCACTCCACTGCTCGCGCAAACATCCCACCCACCAACCCGCAACTTGGTTTGCAAACCCCATGCAGAAACGATTTTGATGAGTGCTTGGTGTTGGCTGGTGCATCTCTGCGGCCGCGCTAGCCCGCGCACGCTCGCGCGCGCAGCGACCAGCTAGTTTGGCGCGACCGACGTGAACGCGGTGGCGCTGACCGCCTGGCACATCCCAGCGGGCACTTCCGTTCGAGTCGGCGATTTGGGCGAGCGCGGTATCATGACAACGTCGACAACGGTAGACACGATGATGATAGTGGCGATGTTGACAGCTACGACGGGGCAGCCAATGGTGGCGCCGATGCTGATCGCGCCGACGACGATGACGGCGTCTTCGCGTCGGTGGTGAAGGTTTTGGAAGGGATTCGAAATACGCGCGCGGAAAACGCGCGAGAGCGGCTCGCATGGTATTGTTTGATACGGATCGCGCAACCCCAGCACGCGCGCAAGGGCGTTCGAACGATTGCGACATGCGCGCGCGAAGCTCGTTTGATGATAGTTTTATGCACACGTTGAAAAGTGCGTGGTTTTCTTAAAAATTCGCAAGGGCGCGCGCGCACGCGACGACGCGCGCGCGCGTGCACTTCGTTTCGTTTTTGGCAGAGGGTTCTCGCGACGGCACGCGCGCAAGGGCATTCGAACGATTTCAACATGCGCGCGCGAAGCCCGTTTGGTAGCATCTCCTTGAAATATTGAAGAACTTATAGTTCTCTTTCAAATTCGCAGGACAACGCGCGCGCATTTTTTTTTTTACAAAAAAAAATCGGTGCTGCGAAACTTTGTGTTCTTACATATGTTTTTTGGACACTCGATTTTGAAATCCTTCCTAAACTGAAGGTTTTTGAAGAATTCGGGCATGCGCGCGCGACGACGCGCGCGTGTGCACTTCATCACATATGTCGCAAACGATTATTGGACATTTATGGTTTTTGGGAAACGAGTGTGTGCGCATAGTTTTGGTTGCAGATGATGGCGGGAGGTCGATACCGGCTGGCCTGGGATGGTATGAATTCACAAGAAGAAAACCCGAAGGGTCACGACCATATTTGAATTTCCCATCGAAACGCGTATCAGATAACCCCGGGGGGGTGATGGGGGTAGAATCTGAATTGTTTTAAGGGAGGAGAACTGTTGTGGATTGATGTTTACGAATGAGTTGACACATTCCATGCCTTTGCAAACATCCCACCCACCCACTCGCAACTTGGTTTGCAAAACCCATGCGGCGGCGATTGCGATGAGCGCTTGGCGTTTGCTGGTGCATCTCTGCGGCCGTGCTAGCCCGCGCACGCTCGCGCGCACAGCGGCCAGCAAGTTCGGCGCGTCCGACGCGGCCGCGGTGGCGCTGACCACCTGGGCACTTCCCAACGGGCGCTTCACTGCGAGTCGGTGGCTTGCCAGGGCCGGTCTCCGACCCGATCCGATGCGCCCCTGCCGATTCCGGTTCCGGTCCGATTCCTCTGGCCTTCTTTGGTTTCGATTCCGATCCAGCGCGCGGCCGCCGAGTCCGGCTTCGATCTGGCATTCCCGATGTTCGTCGATCCCCGTTTTGATCCCGCAGGGGTTGGGAGGAGGAGGAGGAGGAAGAGGAGGAGGAGGAGGAGGAGGACAAAAAGGACGACGACGACGACGACGACGACGACGAGGTCCGAAGGGAGGGGTCCGAATGGCTCTTCTTGCCCCTGTTCGCTTCTGAGGGCATCTTGGAGGCTTCTGGAATCGTCTTGGGGACATCTTGGGCGTCTTGTAGCGATCGTTCGGCGACTCGGGGCCCTCTTGGCCCATGTCGGGGCCCTCCTGGGCGAAGGTGCCGTCCGAGAGTGAGCTGGGGCTCCGATTCCGCCCAGGAAATCAAATCGACCCCCCCCTCCCCTTTTCCCTACCCCGGCAGAGCCACCCCGGCACCCATCCCCCAGTAGAGCTGAAGCTCAGGAGGCCTTTGAAACTCACACGGCGGATCGGCGGATATATGGGTTCGCTCCTCTTCGCCTCAATCTTGGCCCTGCGCCCGCGCGCCCCCAATCATTCGGTGAATGGGTGATTGGTGACAGCAGATGATGACCGCGAGGGAGGTCGCGGCCATCATCGCGGAACGGGCCGCAAGCATGTTTTAGTTTGGGGAGGAAGGACACCGGCGTGACGGAACCAAAGTCACGCATGCGAGGTGGGAGGAAGTGGTGACCGCGATGGGGGTTGCGGCCATCACGTTCAAGGACCAGCCCCATGAGCGTCAACGGAATTTGAACATAAACTAACGATCCGCAGCTAGGGCGGCGAAGCCGAAGAAGAGGAGAGGGAGGACGAGAACGACGAGGAGGACGGGCGCGACGAGACAGACAGTCCCGCTGTCGCCAGACGGGGGAAACGCCACCACAGAGTGCGCTTCCCGCAGCGACAGAGCTGATGTGATGACCGCGAGACAGATGCTGGTCATGAGGTCGACAAACTACGTCCATGGGCGCAAGTGGGGGCCACGGGCATTGAGGGCGGGGTAGATGCGAGGGTCGTCGGAGAAGGGCAAGGGTCGGTGCGAAGCGGGGGCGACGCTGATCACCGCGAGGAGGGCGAAGGTCATCGCTCGGAGAAGGGGTGGCGAGCCCCATCGTGAGAAGAGGGGCGCGCAATGAAAAGTTGCTTGTCGCGGTCAAAACTTCAAGGCTTCTTGAGTGCCTTTGAGGCCTCTGCGCCGTCTAAGGGCCTTTCGGAAGCCTCTGGGGCGTTTTGGAGGCCGCGCGCAACAATCCTAATCCATCAACAGGTTTGCAAGCATCGTCGATGTGTACATATCGCGACCCTCTCGGTCGTTTCGTGGTCGGTGGAAAACGATGATGGTGATTACTAATGTCCGCTCGCGTTGGAGGTGGCCTGGGGGCTCTTTCGGCGCCTTTTAGGGAGGGTCACAGGCTTGTGGGGGCTTCTAGTGGCCTTGGCGTTCACGACGCCGACTGGCCTACAGCGGGCCGACGACGATGGGGCGATCATGGTAGACGATGAAGAAGTAGGAGGTGGATCAGAAGATGCAGAGCAGGAAGCGAAAGAGGAGGACGAGCAGCAGCAGACTGATGCACGCTCGTTTGGGAGGTGGCCCAAGCTGTGCTTGGACGCCTTGGGGAGGCCTTGGGGGGCCTTGGCGTTCACGGCGCCGACCGGTCCACAGCTGGCCAGAGCGAGTAGACATGAGTTGTCTCGGCGGATTGAGCGGCAGCCGCCCAATGAAGCGGGGGCGCGGACATGACCGCGAGGGGGGCCCGCGGTCACGCCACCGGGCCGTCGCGCTGCCGCGGGGGCGCGCCGCTTTCTTGGATCGTGAGTTCGGGGCGTCCTGGGTGCTCGTCGGGGCTTCGCGACGTGTTTCTCCGGGGCCCCTGGAAGCCTTGCGTGGCTCGTGAGTCGGGGGCCTCTGGGAGCCTTTTTGGGAACACCGCGCAGGACGTAAACGCGAGATCTCGCATGCGTTTCGGGGAGGCCACTTGGGAATCTTTCCGGGAGCCTTTGGGAGGCATTCTGGGAGTCAATGGGGGTTGGGGGGGCCTTCCTGGGGGTCCTGCTGGGGTTCTGGGGGGCCGGCTAGGGGCCCTCAGTGGCCGTCCTGGGGTCCTCTTGCACCGTCTTGGGGGGCTCGTGACATCTTGGGACCCTCTTGGGCCGTCTAAGGGGGCCGGTCTCCCGTGGCCCTATTAAAAGGACCCCTTGAGGCTCTTTTGGAGCCTCCTGGGGCCTGCCTTGGGCCGTCCAGGGGCGTCTTGGAACCCTCTTGGGCCGTCGTGGGGCCCTCTTGGGGGCCTCTTGGGTTGTCTTGGGGCGATATTCGAGGCCTTTCGGGTCGTCCAGGATGCGTTCAGGATTGAGTAAGCGAATATGCTGAGCACATACGTTCGCCGACGGGAATGCGACGAGTTGTGCCTCTTGGGGGTCTTCTGGGGTGCCTCTTCGGCCGTTTTGAAGGCCTTGGTGGCCGTCTTGACGCCGTCTTGGGCCCTCTTCGAGCGCTCGTGGGCCATGTAGCAAGTACTTTAGGGCGATTTGGAGGCCTCTTGCGCTTGGGCCTGTGAGGGGGGGGGAGGGGCGTTTTCGGCTGTCCAGGAACCCTTCCAACAGGTGCACCGCAGCTGGGGAATATCGCCCGACGGGTATGGGGGGGTGGGGGTGGGCGGCCGATCAAGGGGGGTCCATGCAGGCAGGATGCATAAGTATGGGAATATGGTTCTCTCTCCTTGTCTCTCCCTCTCTCTGCTCTCTCTCTCTCTCTCTCGTTCCTCTCCCTCTCTCTTTCTCTTCCCCGGTCTCTCTCTCTCTCTCTCTCTTCTCTCTCTCTCTCTTTCTCTCCTGCTCCCCGTTGCCCCCCTCCTCCTCGCCTTCCCTCCTCCTAATCCTTTCCTGCTGGATCCCCCAGCACCCCCCCAAGTATGACGAGCAACCTATAGCGACCTGAGCAGATCGAACCTCCAAGAACACTGCAAACTTAATATCATCGACACCTCCTCCCATCCCCCCGTCGTCATTTTCATTTTGTGTCCCCCTGCTCGAAAGAGGGCGGCGATAGGATGGACAACGAGGCAGTGAATCCCCTCAAGGGCACCGGCAAGCTGGCGGACGAGGACGCGAGCCAGTACGACATCATTTTGTTCGCTGGGGGGCACGGAGCCTGCGTGGATTTCTCAACAGAGGAGCTCTGTTCTCCCTTCTCCTCCGTCTTGTGTCTTTTCCTCGTATCCGTAGTCAGCTCCCGCTGCTCCTCCTCCTCCTGCTTCTCCACTCTTCCTGCTCACCCTTCTACCCACAGGGCTCGAAATCACGCCTCATGCAGGAGGTACATATCCGCACTGGATGCTTTGACCCGCATGTTTGGGGTCTTGGACCTGCTGGCTCTTTCCGATGCCACTTCTCTTTTTCCCAACCATCCTGTGGTTTGGGTCCTCGTCTTGAAGAGACGGTTCCCCGGTGCTCCTCCTTCCTCCCTCCTCCCCCGCCCCCTCCTCCCTCCCTGCGTTTCACCCACCCAGTACAGCGCTTCGTGGCCCCATAGGGTGCTCCACGGAATTCCCCTGTGCCATCGTCCGCATGCGTCCTGGAACACCCAATTTGGCATTTCCACCCAACCAGTACAGCATTTCGTAGCCCCATTGGGAGCTCCACCGAAGCCTCCAGTGCTACCGTCGGCATGCGTCCCAGAACACCTAATTTGGCATCCACCCAACCAGTACAACGCTTCGTGGCCCCATAGGGAGCTCCACTGGAGCCCCCAGTGCCACCGTCCGCATGCGTCCCACACACCCAAGTTGCCATTTTCACCCACCCATTACAACGTTTCGTAGCCCCGCCTGCATGCGTCCCAGAACACCCAATTTTGCATTTTCACCCACCCAGTACAGCGTTTCATGGCCCCATAGGGAGCTCCACCGAAGCCCCCAGTGGGACCGCCCGCATGCGTCCCACACACCCAATTTAGCATATTCACCCACTCAGTGCAGCGTTTCGTGGCCCCATAGGGACCTCCACCGAAGCCCCCAGTGGGACCGCCCGCATGCGTCCCACATACCCAATGTGGCATTTTCACCCTCCCAGTGCAGCTTTTCGTGGCCCCATAGGAAGCTCCACCGACGGCCCCAATGCTACCGCCGGCATGCGTTCCCCCCCACCCAGTGCAGCGTTTCGTGGCCCCATTGGGAGCTTCACCGAAGAAGATATTCACAACTGCGGTACCCACAACTGCATGTGGGTGGGCCTTTCGCCACGATAATGTTGTTCCTCCGCTTCCTCCCCCAGGTTTCACATCCCTCTTATTGCTTCTTCCTCCTCCCCCATCCCTCTTTCCTCCTTCCCCTTCTCCCTTTCCTCCCCTTCTCTCATCTCTTTCTCGTCCTTATCTTCCTTGTCTTCCCGACGGAGGAGGTCGGCAACTTCGTGAGCAGAGCGGCGGAGCTGGGCAAGGTGTTGGCGGCCGTTTGCCATGGAACAGTCGCCCTGGTCCACGCCACTGTCGCGACGCAGGAAGCCACTGGCTGGGAGGTCGAGAGAACATCCCCGTCGCCAGAGTTCCACGGGAGGAGGAGAAGGCGTGCCTCCAAGGGCGCCCTCGCCGCCAAGGCTGGAGTACCCTCCAAGTTTTGGTCGGAAGGCAACCTCGGACAGGCCTGGGGGTCGATTCCCCCCGTATTTCCGACGTCGTGACTTGGTCGCTCCGTGGGCTCGACGCCTTCCCTGGGAGCGGCCTTCCGTTCAGGACTGCTCATTGATGCTGCCCCCGCGATGCGGAAGTTTTCCAGGCTCTGAAATTTGTGAACTCACCCATGCTGTGGTTTCCAAAGAGGAGGGTGGCGAGCGCGCCCCGCTGGTGAAAGGGAGGAACGTCGCCTGTTTCAGCGACGCGGAAGAGGAGCAGATCCAGCTGGCGGGCACGGTGCCCTTCCTCGTGGAGGCGAGGCTGTCTTGAGCGGATGGGGGGCCAGTCGAAACAGCGGCAGTCCTCCCTGGCGTTGTCCGTCCTTCTTGGACCTCCCAGCGCTGCATCCGCGTCGAGAAACCTCTGAGCGAGACGCTTCGAGGATGTCTCGAGCGAAACGCTTGTTTTGCCGAATTCGAGCGGTCTGAGCGCCCCAGGATGCCCAGGTGATCCTGGGAGCCCGAGCACAACGGAATGTACTAAGGAGCATGGCCCTGGAAGCGCGGACGCAGCGTACTTTACAAGGGAGCGTGACCTTGGGGGCGTGGACGCAGCGTAGATTGCAATGGACTGTTGCCCAGGGAAAGCGGACGCAGCGTAATTTACGAGTGATTGTGGCCTTGGGAGCGCGGACGCAGAGTAATTGGCGGTGGTTCGTGGCATTGGGAGCGCGGACGCAGCGTAATTTACAACAGGCCGAGGCCTTGGGGGTGCGGACGCAGCGTGATTCACTAGGGATCGTGGCTCTGGCCGGGGGGGGTGGGGGAGGGACACAGCGTAATTTTCTGGGGAATGTGGCCCAGGGACCGCAGACACAGCATAATAGTGAGCGCGGCCCTGGGAGCGCGGACGAAGCGTAGTTTACAAGGGATCGTGGCCCAGGGAGAGCGGACGCAACGTAATTCACGTGGGATCGTGACCCTGGGAGCGCGGACGCAGCGTAATATACCTATACGACCACCCTTCGGGTGATAAGGAGGTTCACCATCTCTCTCAATCGATCTCACTATCGATCTCACTCAACGGGACACCACGGGACACTTGTCGATCTCACTATCGATCTCACTCAACGGGACACCACGGGATACCACGGGCCACCGCGGGACACCACGGGACACCTGTCGATCTCAATATCGATCCCACTATCGATCTCACTACCGATCTCACTATCGATCTCATTCAACGGGGCACCATAGGACACCACGGGACACCACAGGACACCTCGGGACACCATATCGATCTCACAATCGATCTCACTATCGATCTCACTCAACGGGACACCACGGGACACCACGGACACCTGTCGATCTCACTATCGATCTCACTATCGATCTCACTTTTTGGGACACCTCGGGACACCTCGGGGCACCACATCGATCTCAGTATCGATCTCACTATCGATCTCACTATCGATCTCACTATTGATCTCACTATCGATCTCACTCAACGGGACACCACGGGACACCACGGACAACTGTCGATCTCACTATCGATCTCACTATCGATCTCACTTTTTGGGACACCTCGGGACACCTCGGGGCACCACATCGATCTCACTATCGATCTCACTATCGATCTCACTATTGATCTCACTATCGATCTCACTCAACGGGACACCACGGGACACCACGGACACCTGTCGATCTCACTATCGATCTCACTATCGATCTCACTTTTTGGGACACCTCGGGACACCTCGGGACATCTCACTATCGATCTCACTATTGATCTCACTATCGATCTCACTCAACGGGACACCACGGGACACCGGGACACCACGGGACACCTGTCGATCTCACTATCGGTCCCACTATCGATCTCACTACCGATCTCACTATCGATCTCATTCAACGGGACACCATAGGACACCACGGGACACCACAGGACACCTCGGGACGATCTCACATCGATCTCACTATCGATCTCACTCAACGGGACACCACGGGACACCACGGACACCTGTCGATCTCACTATCGATCTCACTATCGATCTCACTTTTTGGGACCTCGGGACACCTCGGGGCACCATATCATCTCAGTATCGGACTATCGATCTCACTATCGATCTCACTATCGATCTCACTCAACGGGACACCACGGGACACCACGGACACCTGTCGATCTCACTATCGATCTCACTATCGATCTCACTTTTTGGGACACCTCGGGACACCTCGGGGCACCACATCGATCTCAGTATCGATCTCACTATCGATCTCACTATCGATCTCACTATTGATCTCACTATCGATCTCACTCAACGGGACACCACGGGACACCACGGACATCTGTCGACCTCACTATCGATCTCACTATCGATCTCACTTTTTGGGACATCTCAGGACACCTCGGGACACCTCGGGACATCTCACTATCGATCTCACTATTGATCTCACTATCGATCTCACTCAACGGGACACCACGGGACACCACGGGACCACGGGACACCACGGGACACTTGTCGATCTCATTATCGGTCCCACTATCGATCTCACTACCGATCTCACTATCGATCTCATTCAACGGGGCACCATAGGACACCACGGGACACCACAGGACACCTCGGGACACCATATCGATCTCACAATCGATCTCACTATCTATCTCACTCAACGGGACACCACGGGACACCACGGACACCTGTCGATCTCACTATCGATCTCACTATCGATCTCACTTTTTGGGACACCTCGGGACACCTCGGGGCACCACATCGATCTCAGTATCGATCTCACTATCGATCTCACTATCGATCTCACTATTGATCTCACTATTGATCTCACTCAACGGGACACCACGGGACACCACGGACACCTGTCGATCTCACTATCGATCTCACTATCGACCTCACTTTTTGGGACACCTCGGGGCACCACATCGATCTCAGTATCGATCTCACTATCGATCTCACTATCGATCTCACTATTGATCTCACTATCGATCTCACTCAACGGGACACCACGGGACGCCACGGACACCTGTCGATCTCATTATCGATCTCACTATCGATCTCACTTTTTGGGACACCTCAGGACACCTCGGGACACCTCGGGACACCTCGGGACATCTCACTATCGATCTCACTATTGATCTCACTATCGATCTCACTCAACGGGACACCACGAGATACCACGGGACCACGGGACACCACGGGACACTTGTCGATCTCACTATCGGTCCCATTATCGATCTCACTACCGATCTCACTATCGATCTCATTAAACGGGGAACCATAGGACACCACGGGACACCACAGGACACCTCGGGACACCATATCGATCTCACAATCGATCTCACTATCGATCTCACTCAACGGGACACCACGGGACACCACGGACACCTGTCGATCTCACTATCGATCTCACTATCGATCTCACTTTTTGGGACACCTCGGGACACCTCGGGGCACCACATCGATCTCAGTATCGATCTCACTATCGATCTCACTATCGATCTCACTATTGATCTCACTATCGATCTCACTCAACGGGACACCACGGGACACCACGGACACCTGTCGATCTCACTATCGATCTCACTATCGATCTCACTTTTTGGGACACCTCGGGACACCTCGGGACACCTCGGGACATCTCACTATCGATCTCACTATTGATCTCACTATCGATCTCACTCAACGGGACACCACGGGACACCACGGGACACCTGTCGATCTCACTATCGGTCCCATTATCGATCTCACTACCGATCTCACTATCGATCTCATTCAATGGGGCACCATAGGACACCACGGGACACCACAGGACACCTCGGGACACCATATCGATCTCACAATCGATCTCACTATCGATCTCACTCAACGGGACACCACGGGACACCACGGACACCTGTCGATCTCACTATCGATCTCACTATCGATCTCACTTTTTGGGACACCTCGGGACACCTCGGGGCACACATCGATCTCAGTATCGATCTCACTATCGATCTCACTATCGATCTCACTATTGATCTCAATCGATCTCACTCAACGGGACACCACGGGACACCACGGACACCTGTCGATCTCACTATCGATCTCACTATCGATCTCACTTTTCGGGACACCTCGGGACACCTCGGGACATCTCACTATCGATCTCACTATTGATCTCACTATCGATCTCACTCAACATGACACCACGGGACACCACGGACACCTGTCGATCTCACTATCGATCTCACTATCGATCTCACTTTTTGGGACACCTCGGGACACCTCGGGACACCTCGGGACATCTCACTATCGATCTCACTATTGATCTCACTATCGATCTCACTCAACGGGACACCACGGGACACCACGGGACACTACGGGACACCACGGGACACCTGTCGATCTCACTATCGGTCCCACTATCGATCTCACTACCGATCTCACTATCGATCTCATTCAACGGGGCACCATAGGACACCACGGGACACCACAGGACACCTCGGGACACCATATCGATCTCACTATCGATCTCACTCAACGGGACACCACGGGACACCACGGACACCTGTCGATCTCACTATCGATCTCACTATCGATCTCACTTTTTGGGACACCTCGGGACACCTCGGGGCACCACATCGATCTCAGTATCGATCTCACTATCGATCTCACTATCGATCTCACTATTGATCTCACTATCGATCTCACTCAACGGGACACCACGGGACACCACGGACACCTGTCGATCTCACTATCGATCTCACTATCGATCTCACTTTTTGGGACACCTCGGGACACCTCGGGACATCTCACTATCGATCTCACTATCGATCTCACTATCGATCTCACTCAACGGGACACCACGGGACACCACGGGACCACGGGCCACCACGGGACACCGCCGGACACCGCGAGCCATCTCCAGACGGGCGGAAGGAGGATAATCATTTGTCGTGACTTCGCCCTAGCAACGGCGGACACCACGGGGCACAACGGGACACCGCGAGCCACCGCCGGACGGAGAAGAATCATTTGTCTTGAATTCGCTCTAGCAACGGCGGTTACCACGGGACACCACGGGACACCAGCAGGACACCGGCGGGACACCGCGGGCCACCGGCCGCCGGAGGAGAAACATTTGGTCCGGCCGCGGCCCAGCCACAGGAGGATTTCGGGACACCAGCGGGACACCGGCGGGACATCGCGGGCCACCGGCCGCCAGAGGAGAAACATTTGGTCCGGCCGCGGCCCAGCCACAGGAGGATTTCCTCTCGCCCGCCTACGCAGCTTCGCCTCGCCCGCACGCATGCACGCACGGCACGCACGACACGAACCCGAAACCGAAATCGATTTCCCGGTAGGGGGGGTCTCCGTTTCACGTCGGACTCATCCCCCAACCTCTGACTATGGATCGTGGCCCTGGGAGCGTGGACGCGCGTGATGTATGAAGGATCCTGGCCCTGGGGGGCGGACAGATTGCAATTTACTAGGAACGTGGCCCTGGCAGCGCGGACGCAGTGCAGTTCACAAAGGAAGGCGGCCCTGCGAGCGCGGAAGCAGCGCAGTTTACGAGGGATCGTGGCCCAGGGAGAGCGGACGCAGCGTAATTCACGGGGCATCGTGGCCCTGGGAGTGCGGACGCAGCGTCATTCACGATGGATCGTGGCCTTGGAAGCGCGGACGCATCGTAACTTACGAATGGTCCTGGCCCTGGGTGGAAGACGTCCCAGGTCCGGGCCTTGGGTCAAAGACGTCCCGTGGCACGTTCTTTGACGCGTTCACTGGTACGTTCCCTGGTGCGTTGGTGCGTCGCCTAGCACGTTCCTTGGCACGCTCCGTGGCGCCTCCCGTGGCGAGTCCCCCTGGCACGTCGCGCGGCGCGTCCCCTGGCACGTCCCGTGGCACGTCCATTGGCACGTTCCGCAGCGCGTCCCCTTCGTACGTCCCGCGGTGCGTCCCCATGGCACGTCCCCTTGCACGTCCCCTGGCGCGTCCCTTGGGACGTTCCGCGGCGCGTCCTCCTGGCATGTCCCCCTGTCAATTAGCTCTGGGGCAGCTACTATGTGCTCAGGCAGCTCGAGCTTAAGATCCAGATCAGTTCGGTCAGGACTCGGATGCAAAGGAGGACTCGATCCACAACGATATGTAACACAATCGCGGCATGGCACATCGCAATTCAGCACGGCGCAGCACAGCACAGCCCTCGGCACGGTACATCAAGATCGATACACTCAGCATTGAATTTGCCCGTCGCCCAATCAGGTGTCTTTGAAAACGTCGCCACGCCGTACATTTCTATATTCCTTTCCAGGTTCGTGGGTCGATCATGTTGGGCCTCTTGGGCGGCCCTCGTCGCAACCGCTGGATTCACCTCAAAATCCTCGTCAGAACGCACCCCAGAGAGTAACGGTATCGGTACCTTTTGGTTTCCCCAATTGGTGGTGAGCTCCCACTGGGCTGCCGTGATCGCTGAACGCAATGCGATATGAGCGGCGTGCGCGCATGGGATGGGCCCCCCATCCCCCCCGCGACCCCCTGAGGCCGCGCACCACGGGTCACTCCAGGGCCACTCGCGCGTTCAGCCGATTCAGCCTTTCGGACGTCTTGCCTTCTTTTTGGAGGGGTGGTCGCCAAGGAGCAAGCGGTGCTTTAAACAGAAAGAATCGGGCTACTGGGGCCGAGACAATGATTCAGGATAAAGAACTGCTCCCGGGGGAAAGTCCTGGGGTCCAGGACCCGTTTCCCTCAGGTCGCGTTCTCTTCATGCTACAGATGGGGCTTGTGGAGGTTTCCAGGGACCTCTGGGGACCCACGGGGGTCTTCGGAGACCCGCTCCCAAGGGCAGACCGAGGACGAGGAGGACTTCAGCTCTTGTCTACATGTTCCGGGCCTTCTGTGGGGGGTCACCTTCGCCACGGCCGCACGCAGCTCGAAAAAACGCTCCAGCTGCGCTTCAGGGCGGGTATGGGCGGTTAGCTCGGAGGGTGGAGGAGCATAATGGTTCGGAGACATGGTCTTCCAACGTCGCACCCCAAGGGGGGCAAGATGGCCGCACGACAGGATGAGTAGAGGGGCAGGGAGGGGAGGCGAAGCTGAAGGAGCTGGGGGCCCTGGTGGAGAACGTCGACCCGTGGGCGGACCTCGCGGGAGGGAGACTGGCCACCACCACGCCATACCTCCCGACGTTGTGAACAAACACGAATGTTCAGGTTTCAGGGCGGGAGTGACGGCGGCTCCCCAGGGGAAGCTCGCGTTCCTATCGAGAACGCCAGCGGCGCATCACCAGCCGCTCCCTGGGAGTTTGACGCAGCGTCTCGGGAGCCCCCTGGCGGCAGTTTTGAAGCCTCTTCGGCTCCTCTTAGGGACCTTTCGGGGGCCTGTTGGGGCTTCTTTTGGGCCTCTTTTAAGCTTATTGTGGGCTTCTTGGGGCCCATCGAATGTTCCTTGGGAGCCTGCTGGCGGGGTCGGAGGTCTCGTTGCGGCGGCAAGCTCGGAGTGTCCTGTCGATTTCCGCCTCTTGGGGCTCTCTTGCGGCACTCTTCGGCCGTATTGGGCTTCTCTTGGGTCGTCTTGGGGTGCCCGTGGGCTGTATTTGGGCTCTCTGCAGGGTTGTTGGGGCCATCTTGGGATGACCGCGGGGGCTTCCTGGCGGTCCTTGGAGCGGAAGGCTCGAGCTTTCCGTTCGTGTCACCCCTCCGGGCCCCTCTGGGGCTCTTCTTGGGGCCCTCTTGGACCGTCTTGGGCGCCTTTTGGGCCGTCTTGGGACTCTCTTGGGCTGCCTTGGGGCCCGCATTCATATCTCGAGGCTGCCGCCTCTGCCGCCGACACAATTTTTTCTGTCTGGTTATTCGGATCTCCGGGGCCGTCGTGCTGGCGTCGTTGGGCCTCCTGCGCGCACATTTCTTGCAGAAGCCACCGTGAATTTATAGATGTCCGACTTTCGAAACTCTCTTCGAGTTTCTCGCGGGCCGTTTGGGGGGCCTGGGGTTGTCGTCAGGTGCGTTAGGGCGTTTGGGTTCGATCTGGGAATTGGTTTGGATTCATGCGCGTTCTTGGGAAGTTTTTGCAGTATGCATCGTCTGCGCGCCGCGACGGGGGTTTGATGTCAACGGCGCGTGGTCGTTATCCCGAGAGGGACAACAAGTGCCTCCCACTTGATCGAGGGGGGAAATGGGCGCGCGGTGTCGGAAGGGGGTACCGAAGCTGATTTCCGTTGGGGCCACTTCCGCTCACACCCCCCAACCTTCGATCTGTTGCGTTCGGTCCATCCCGTCATCGTGCTCGGCTCGTGGGTCTGAGGCCACCTGATGGGCGATGAGGTTTCGTGGGATGATTTCCTGGAGGTAGTGTTCCTTGTGGAGGCTCAAGTTCGGGGCTAAAGGCTGAAATTCCTTGTGGGGCTTCCGCTCTGGGGCTCTTCTTGTGGTCTTCTTGGCCTGTCAGGGGGTCCTCTTGCGCGCGGGAGGTCTTTGGGAGGGGAGACGAATCTCGCGCGCCGATGATACGCGAAGGGGTCGGCGCATTTTTCACCGCATGAGTTTCCTGTAGGTCGCCCGCGGGGACGCAAACTCAATCGCGCGTCGCGGTTCAGGGCGGAGAGCTACTTGGTTCCACCGGGCAGCGCGCTGCCGCCGAGATGACCGCGCATCGCGGGGCGCGGGGCGCGACGTGGCGCGACCTGGCGAGCCTCGCTGATCTCCTGCCTGGGATGGATTACGTGGTGGAAGACGACGGGGGTGAGGATTGGCCTTTCCAGATGTGGATGGGTGCTCGCACTTACGGCACAAGTGGATTCTCGCGCGGAACAAGAGACCACTGGCGCCGATTTTCTTCGGGGCCCCGGTGCCGCGCGGCAAGCGCGGGGAGGCAGAAGGGTCAGCGCGAATTGCGATGTCGCACTTCCACCCGTGGACGCTGCGACCAACGGAGGCGGGCGAACACGTGGCATTCGCAGGTGCGCTGCGTACGGATTCGACGACGTGGGAGTCTGCCCTTGTGTCGCGGTTGGACGGCGGCGCGCGAGCGGAAGAGGCTGCGCGCTACGGGGGGGGGGGGGGGGGGGAATTTCCACGGCGCGCACCGCGTGCGACCGAGGGATGCGGGCCATGAATATGCGCGAAGCGATTAAGACGTCAGCGACGAAGAATTGGAAGTCGGGTTCGACCAGTTGAACGAGGCCCTCACATCGCGCGTCGGAGGGCGGAAACGGCAGGACGGCGACGGTGACAGCAGCGGGGCGGAAGAAGATGGCGCGATGTGGGAGGACCTCGCAGGGGGGTCTCACGACGAATATTCGAAAGTCGGCATGTCTGTGGCAGAGAACGCGCGGGGCCAGCGCGCAGGGGAGACGCCGCTGGCGCGGAATGCGTGGCCGAGGACGCTCAGCTGCGACCTGGACGGCGCGTCGGCCGCAGCGCGCCAATCTCGACACGGAAATGAATCAATGGCCGACCGGGCGGCGTCGGGGGAAGAGGGAGGGATGGTGGACACGCGGGCGGGGGCGACGTCGGCCGAGGTGGCGGAGTGGCTCAGGAAGTTGGAGTTCCGAGAAGATGATGCGACAAGGCGTCGCGTCGCCAACGCAAGGCAATGCAACGCGGCGAAGCAGGTAGCTGGCAGAGCGATGCAAACGCTGGACAGAGAGGCAGGATGGGGGCGCGAACGCAGGGGAAACGTTGCGGCGGTGCATGCACGGAGAGCCCGGCACACAGAAGTCGCACGTGTTGCGGATTCTGCGAAAGGAGATGTTCGAAGATTCGTTGAAGTGGACGATTGGCGCGCATTTCCAGATGGCGGCTTTCCAGGCAGTCATGGCGCAGCTGCTCGGTTGGGGCGCTATGCGCCACGCCCGCGGCACCCCCGCCGTCAAACGCGGCGACGAGAATGAGGATGAAAACTCCAGCACGATACTGCGAAGCGCGCGCTACATTGGAGGCGGTTGCTCATCGACGAGATCAGCACGGCGAGCGCCCGACTCCTGGCCGAGGTGGGCCAAGAGCTGAGGAGTGTCAGTCGGGGCGCGGGCACGCTGCTGCGGGAGAATGACGGAGTGCCGCGATCGCGGTTTGAATGTGATGCTGGGCGGGGATTATTGGCAGCCGTCGCCGCCTGACGGAGGGACCCTCGCCGGCGTTCCCGCGGAACGCATCGCGGCTGCGCGGAAGCGCCTCGCTCTCTCCACCAGCGCTGCACGGGCAAGCGCTTCTGCGGGGCCGTGGCGCGGCGGGAGCACAGGGTGCGACTGAGCTGGAGGAGCGCGAGCGGCGCGACGACGCCGGGCCGAGACGTGCGCAGGGAGAGCTTCGCAGGGAAAGCCCAACAGAAGATGCGCGCGCATTCCTGCGCGGGCGGGGCACAAGCGTTCCAGTGAGTTGGCTAGGCGGAGAGGTTACATGCGACATTGCGAAATCAAAGTCCTTGTGTGCGATCCAAGAGGGTGCGAAGGGGGGCAACGGGAGTGCGCGTCGTCTTCGCTCAATAATTTAACTTCGCGGGACATCAGAAAGCAGGAATGTCGGGCTTGCAAAGGGGGGCGCGAGTGCGCGCGGAATAGTTTCGATGTGCGCCGGGGGTCTCCCCGAACAACGACGTGAAGTACGGGGTCAGCAAGCTCCGCGCGGCGCAGTGTGCCCGAGCGCGCGAGAAGCCCATGGCGCGCGCGCCTGCGCGAGACGCTCCGACGCCGGACGCGCTCCGAGGACGGCCAGATCTACCGCTCCAGAAGATGGCCCGGCTGCAGCGTCACGACAAGGTAAGCGGGGACCTGTTTGGTTTCTTGCTCATCGCGGAAGGCACGCCCGCGGCCTTCGCAGATCACATCGACCGCAGCGAGGTGAAGCACTTTCTGCGCGGACGCGATGGGGCCGCGCACTCGCGGGCATGCGATGGCGACGAAGGGGCCGCCGGCGTCTCGCGGGGAGGTGGGGCCATGTTGCAGAAGACCACGAAAGTTTGTTTTGTCCTGTTCGATGAAGGTCTCGATGAGGAAGGAGTCCGAATCCCGCGCGAGTGCGTGGTTCCAGGCCTGGAGACGCCTGGGCCGCATCCAGTGACGCCGCAAAAGGAAGCTTGGTTCGTTGACAAGGGGCGCCCGCATCCGCGTTTGAAAGTGAAACGACGGCAGTTCCCCTCGGCACCAGCATTCGGAGTGACCGCCCACGCAGCACAGGGCCAGATTTTCAAGCAGGGGGTCATTGTCGACTTGAGAATTGGAGGGGGCACGTCGCCGCTGTCGAGTAACGTGGCCCGCGCGCGCGCGTTCGACGGGGGGGGGGTGCGTTGATCTTTCGGCCCTTTGACCGAGCGCCGCGCACCCAGGGGGGGCGGAATGGGGCCTGCGTTACTTTTTCGATCCTTGCGAGGAGAGAGCTTGAATGGGATGCCATCGAGAGAGAGTTCATGCCTTCTGGGAGGTGCGCGCTATGTGCGTAGGTGACATACAAGAACCAGTATGTTCTTGGGCAGTGGAGTCGGGTTGACAGTCTCCGCGCGTGTAGCCAGTGCCTAGACGATAAGAAGAGCGCGAGCACGCCGTTGCAGCGCATGGAGCTCGGTCTATGGGCCAGGATGCGTTCCACGCGTCTCAGCACCACTCGTCGAAGTTGACGTCGCGGGGCTGCGTGGACTGCCCCGAGAGGCGACAATGCCGCGCGTGCGAAGTTCGAAAGTCCGCGCTGCACTTCAGCTCGTCGACGCTGCGGCAGCGCAGCGTGGCATGGCGGCGAGGAAGGGCGCGGGGGCCTGCGTCGCGCGCGAGGCGGCGTCGCGGCGTGAATGCGTTTCGAGTTGGACGTGGGAGGGCGCGGCCGGTCCCGACCGCCAGTGCAAGCGCTGCTTCGACGCTGCGGCTGCGCGACGGGGCATGGCGGCTAGGGGGGGCGTGAGGGCCTGCGTTGTGCGCGAGGTGGCGCAGCGGCGCGAGTGCTTTCCGAGGCGGATGCGGTGCGTGTGGGGGGGGGGGGGGGGGGGGGGGGGGGCGCGGCCGACGAGACCGCGCGTGCAGGCGCTGCGTCGATAGCGCGAAACTGCAGCGCAGACGTCGAAAAAGCACGGCTTGCAAGAGCGCTTTTTTACTTAACAGCGAAGACTGGTAGGTTTCTAGTGGGCTCAAAAGACGGCATCTTGACTCCACAGGGGGGTCTGGGCGGATGCCGGGGAGAATCCGGGGGCTCCCCGGGACTCCCCAGGGGGGTTTGGGCGGTTGCCGGGGAGGATCCGGGGACTCCCCAGAACACCATTCCCAGGCCACATTTTGAATGCCTGGAGCCAGCTGTAGGCCACTTCGTGTTCTTCGTGTTCCCAGAACACCACTCCTGTACCATATTT